GCACCTTAAAACACTGACTTCCACTGCCTTCTGATTATCTCAGTCTTACATTGCATCATGGAGGCAGCTGCTGGTTTGGTATTCTTAACTTTACTTAAGGCTTTTGTAGGCTGTTTTATTGATTTATTCCTCCATGCTATTTACAGTGGTTTGAATATCTTTTATATTGTACTGCAACCTGCAGGTCTCATAATTTACTGAGAATACAAATGTGACCACCTCTGCTCTTACCTTAGCAATTCTAGTTATGCTTCTTACTCAGAGCTCCCACATCTGCTTCCAGTGCTAGGTCATAAATCAATGAATTAGACAGGGAGAAAAGTCTGGTCTGTTTGCATGATAATAGTGCTCAAGAAGCTTTGTGCTTCTTTTAAGAACCATTTTCCTTAGCCAGACATCTCCAATAAGAAAACTACATACTGTACTTTGTGCTACAAAAACAGCTTAGATACAACATGCTTTCTGTACTCCTGAGTGCCCCAGGCTAGGACCAGATGGGAAAGGTTGTTTTTGTGAATATGGCAAAATGCACTTTATTTGCCTGTTCTACAAAGGTACAGGAGCCAATTACAAACAAGTACAAGTAAGGGAAAGGCAGGCTTCTTTGTGATTGCATACTAAGATGAAGGTCAGAACCCCAGATGTATTAGGAAAATTAAAAAGCTTTTCCCAAACTGTAGCATGGAAGTGAACAAAATCATATTAATGGCTTGATCCAAATAGCCTGATTCAAAGGACATGAAAGTTAATGGAAAGAAGCCCGTTGATTTTTGATGAACATTAGATCAGGCCCTAATTCCACAGTGTAGTCAGGAAACTGGAATCAAGTTACATAAATATATCCCCCAGGATGGCACTAAACCTGCTCCCGTGGAGAATGCCACAGCCCAGAAGCTTCACTCAGTATAACACGTGCATGAGTTTCTCCCATGAAAGAGAAATAATCACTGAACAGGAGGTGTGACTGGAAAAGCCAAGCAATCCCATATTCTCTCTCCTAAAATGTTTGAGGAAAAGGCATTGCACCCATGTAGCCTCGGGCAGTTTAATCTGTGCCTCTCTCTGAAACCCCTCTGGAGAGGGAACTCCCAGAGTAGGACCTGGCATGGGTTTCATTGTTTATTCAGCACATTCTTGCCAATGAGGCACCAGGATGACTGAATATTTGTTATGTGGTCCTGGAGTATGGAGTTTCTCACAAAAGACAAACGCTCCTTTATGCACCTGCATGGTGGAAGCCCAGGATACTTATAACACAACTGCCACAGTAGTCATCTTACAACAAACAATAAGGCTGCATTCTTCTAAAACACTATAGTTTAGTGAAGCACCAAGCAATGGCATGTAATAATTATTATGTCAATCTAGTTATGCTGAACTATTCATGATTTCAACCAGAGATACTCTACCTTAGTCAGCTAGAGAAGAGGACCAATGTTTAATCCATTTGGCAAATAAATTTCTGAAATTCACTGGATTTGTGATTAATATTTCACTTTGGAGGGAACTCCAAAAGAATAGGACACCTGCCAAGGAAATTCTGCTACTCTCACCCAAAAGCTTTGGGGGCCAAAACTGCTTTGATACTGCGAAAATGTAAGTGACAGGCAGTAGGAAGGGAAGTGACATGGTGATGAAAATGCATCTACCTACCTGAGTTGTTGTTTCCTTTATAGCTGAAGGCCCACATGTGGAAAAGTGAACTGGGCTATGGAACAGAGGCAGGAATGAGGGAACAGCCGCTCTAAATAGTATTTTCCCAATCTTTATGCATTCCTAATATCTGCCTAAAAACCAGATTAACTGATGCTTCCTAAAGGAGTCTAAATTCTTCTTCTGTACATTTTCACTTCCACTGATGGGATTAGAGTGCTACTGGAACCAATAGCAACACAGCTCCATTACTGGTTAGTTGAGTGGATCATTGGGGGGTGGGGGTGGGGCAACCACTAATTAAATGAGGAGTCACGGGAAGGTTTCTTGCAAACCTTGTATTCCCCCTCCCCCGCCAAGAGAATCTCCAGTCTTTACCATGCTGCCTCTGTTACCACAGTTCAGACTGAACAGAAGAAAGACCAACAGCAAAACTGTCATAGCCACTGGAGGTTTGGGGCATTTTTCCTCCCTATAAAAGGAACCTAGAGACCAAAATATGGAATCTGAGATTGTAACTGATAGAACCTTGGGCTATCTAGAGAATAAATATAATGATATTCAGAAAATTACTGGTTTTCCCTCTATTGCCTTAAATGTACAGAGTTTGTAAAACTAAAAGAAAAGGAGCCTATTAAAGGAATTGGATGTATACACCTGAAGTTTAATGAAAGCCTCATTGTGTCCACTAGAGAAATGAGTAATTCATCATTTTGTAAAGATTTCCCCATAATGTTTCCAAAGACATCTGCCATGCAAGTGATAGCTCTGTAAAAGAAGATTATCTTGTGTTTCTAACTTTCCTGACCAGCTCTTTTTTCTTTTCAGTGTAGTTTATAAAGCAGCTTTGCACCTCTCTCATAATCACTTCGCCGCCTTTTGGAGTTCATAGCATAGTCCAGACAATGATCAGAAAAGCATCCCATGAGTCATTCATGCCCATAAACACTAGCTTTCTGCAAATTACACAGGACTGTGGTGCTACAGAAGTTGTAATGTATGTGAAAATAATCATAACATGCATAATTGCTTTCTCAGCAGTGTCCATTATTGAAGCAGTGCTCAAAAACAAACAGTTGTTATAACATCATAATAAACCAAGGTAACTTTCTAAATTTCATCACTACAATGATCTTCAAACACAAGGATGATTATAAAACAATATTAACATTCAGGTCCAGGTAGTAATTCAGGGAAACTAAGCCAAAAGTAAACCTTGAAATTTTAAACACGTTTGGAACTTTAAAATCCAGTTATGAGCACCCTAGTGTAGTAAATATTTTCTTCCTTATAAACATAGTGCTAGATAAAATATTTTCCATAATATAGTGTTATTTTCAAAATATCTTACAATATATGTAATGAAGATAACCACAAATACTTATTTTATATAATATTTTTGTTATATATTTACATACACTTTCAAAATGTAGTGCTCATTAGCTAGCAAAGTTAGTAGAAGCAAATTTTACATTATAACCATAGTATATACATCATTTATCTTTATCGTCATATAATGCAAGGTAATTGTAAGTACTAAGAGACTTTGCTTCTATTAATTGTACCAGCGAGTGTGCACTCTATTTTGAACCATTATATTCACACAAAAATATACTGGTACCACACTTGTGACATTAATTTACTTTTTTAAATATCATTTCCTTTTCATTTTTGTTAGATGAATTCCACTGAAACACTGCAGTGAACTCAAAATTTTAGATTCTTGAACACTGTAGGAAGACAGACAGGACACCAAGACTTTGGTTTAACGAATCCACAGCTCTATCAATTTAATACATCTGGACACAATCCAAGAATAACGTACCCAAAGAAGATGAACCTTCTTTTGTTATTTGTACAAACTTTCAACCCTCCCTGCCTTAACGTGTTCCCAGAATAATTGCTGGGACCCCAAAACGCTCCTCTCATAGGAGGGCTGAGAGGAAAGGCAAAACGGGTGATAATGTTCAATTCCAGTTTATCAGAGAACCAGACCCTATATTAAATGATGACCTGTATTTGCACTTGTCAAATCACAATAACAGGAATATGGTATGACCGAACCTATACACAAGATGCCTGGGTTGCTCAAAGGGAGCAGCTGCCATAGCCAATCTGGCAGTGAGAGAAAAAATCCTTCCCATCACCCTCAACGGCTACTAGAATGATTTCCATATCAAAGTCCACAAACACAGCGCTACTCTAGTCCCAGAATGGGGAGAGAGGAGAAGCTATTGCTTCCAGGCATAGAATGGTCCTCCTCCTTGGATGCCCATGAGCCAATAGGCTTTTACGGAATCCTTTTAACCAGCCAATCAGCCTTCCTTCTCACCTCCCCCAAGCTCACAAGGGCTGTGTCCAGACTCAAGGGTTTTTTCGAAAAAAGTAGCCTTTTTTTGAAAAAACTTCACCTGCATCTAGACTACAGCCGCGTTCTTTCTAAATTAAATTGAAAGAACGCGGCTTTTCTTTCGACGGCGGAAAACCACATTTCATGAGGAAGAATGCCTTTTTTCGAAAGTGCTCTTTCAAAAAAAGGCGTTCTTGAATGCAAACAGGGCTTTTTCGAAAGAGAGCATCCAGACTGCCTGGGTGCTTTCTTTCGAAAAAGTGGTTTGCTTTTTCGAAAGTACTGCTTGCAGTCTAGATGCTCTTTTTCGAAAGAGGCTTTTTCGAAAGTATCTTTCGAAAAAGCTTCTTTCGAAAGAGGCTTGCAGTCTAGACATAGCCAAGGAGGCCAAGCATCCACATGGAGAGGAAAGAACAATGAAGAACAAACATTAAAGGGAGAAACACTTTATTTCCCTCCTGTCTTTGGTAATGCCTTAACTTTGAGGCTGGGAGAGGAGCATGAAAGGATATTTGACTTCCATTCATGGTAACAGACTAGCACATTATTGTGAGACAACAGGGAGATCCTCAGCAAAGCTGAATGGGAGTATATCAATTTACCAGAGCTATGTCAATTTATAACAGCTGAGGATCTAACTGAACATCAACTTCACTGTTGACTCCAATAGAAAGAGAAATTGTTTTAATAGGGAAAAAGCTCTTATTCAAAACAAAAGAGTTTAAAAAGCAAAAAAGGGAATACATTTACTAGCTTTATGGCCACTTGTCAAAGAATGTTGTATGAGTGTGAAAGTTCCCATTTGAATAGAATTTCTATTAAAATGTCAAGAATAAAATAATTTATTTATAACTGATTATATATATATATATATATATATATATATATAAAAAATGTATGGCAAATCTTTAACAAAGTATAATATGCTTAAAATCAGTTATGAGCTCACTCTTTCTATTCTAGCCAATTCCACAGAAAACATGTCTCTTATACTTACTTGTGGTGCAATTCTTGAACTCAATATCATCTATTGCTGCTCCGCCACCTAGGTCCTTGGCACGAATGCCTTCAAATATTATTTTGAAATTCCTCAACTTCCCTAGGTGCAGTTCTGCTTTTGTCCATTTGCCATTAGTGCTCTCAGAGTCACTCCACAGTTTTGAAAGGCCGTTATCGGTCTGAAGATGAAAGGAAATATGTATAATAAGGTATACATAAAGCACAGATTGCTAAATATCTTCTGCTGTGTGAAGACAAAGGGAAGATGCTGTGATATGTCCCTTGATACTCCAGTATTATACCGAGTTTTGTCAATAAATGCTTTGATGGGATAGACAGAAAAAAGAGTAAATCACATAAATATCTATAATGGATGAAGCACACAATTATGGTGTATATGACCAAACTTCAAAGCAGTGTATATTGGTACCTTACACACACACATGAATCAGTCTGTCTTGTCACTCTGAAAATACCCACTGTGATAGTTAATGCTGGTTTGCGTAATGTTAGTGATCAATAATGACAGCAAAAGGACATTTCACGTTATCCTCCACTCAGGTGTATTCTTTGTGTTTGGAAGTATATAACTGGTTACAAAGTATTTCTTCCATTTTAAATAGAGGGATTCTCTCTCAAATCGATATAATCTTTTACAATTGCTACTATGGTAATAAATGCAATAAGAAAACTAAAAAAGATAAGAAATCCTTAGGTCTACTCTTGATGCTTTAAATGGAAACAGTAACATCCTTAATTACAAGTATACTAATGTATATTTTAAAAATTAGCTTTTAAAGTCTGTGGCTCAATCACAGCATGCAAGACGAGCAGATGTACCTCTATATTATGCTTAGGATTTAAATATCAACATTATAATTCCTATAGCAAAAATAATGTGAAAATATTTCTGTGTGTAAAATCACAGAGTCCATTCACTATGATTGGTGGCTCCATAGCTGTGACTATTCAAAGTCTAGTTATATGTGAAAATGTTGTGGGCCCCAGATTTTCACATTGTTTAGAGAAAATGGTCTGTCAGAAAAAAAAAGTGTCTTAGAAGCTTTTACTTTGCTATGAAAGAGTGAAATAAGATCAATTTTATGAATATTCCAGGTATCAGATTTTAAAGTGGACATCTAAAAAAACTAGATTACCCAGTTGGAAGAGTGTTATACTACATTTGAATGGAATCTAATAAGATGATCTTTTTTATTGAATTCGAGAAGTGTTAGCTTATTATTTAATGCTAAATTCTTTTCAGGTCAGCTTTTAACTCAAAGAGTATTTTTTAAATAGGTGCATTTGTTTATTCTTAACTAATCAACAATTTTTAACTCACCTAGAACTACATCAATATACACTCAATAATTTACCAATCAAATGCAGACCCAACCAAGTTCTAGGTATGCACTGAACACACCAATACAGCCCTACAAGCAGCCATCAAAGACTGGACTGAGCATCAGCAGTTATATGAAGCAGAGCAAATATAACATTTACTTCTGATTATTGATAATCAATTCTTTAGTACCTAACACATTTATTCCACTTCCAGTATTTCTTCAAAGAGAAAAGACACATGTGGCTTGAAGGCACTCTTAAGAGAATAGTTCCTGCTATTTGAATGGATTGGTCCAAAAAGACAAGCTTAGAATACTAAAAACAATTGCTTGAATGTATTATTCAATCTCTCTCAATCCAATAAACTTGGATATTCAAAAGGGGGCACAGATATATCATTAGTTCAACTTAAAGTATAGACACTTGGGTTATCACTAAAGAATGTAGGTTCAGCAAGACAACCTAAAGAAGAAAGGGGAAAGTATGATTTTCTAAATGAAATCTCAACATCCCTGGAGATTCTGCAGCTAGTTTGAGGGGTCAGTCAACTCTGATTAACCCTGTGGTTTGTGAGAAGGGAAGCAACTTTCCCACATGGGCATGCAACAAGCTTTGCTTAGTCCTATGATCCTAAACATGGGGGAGAGTCTTCCCTGTACTTGGGCTTAGCAAGCACCTCAAAATATCTTCTGGAAAAAAACACTGGGGTACCATGTGGAGCCATTATTTCAAGCTCCTTGAAGGAGGCTATCCTTCTATTGGACATGTGCCAAATGAGTGCTCAGATTTCAGCTCTCTCAGTTTGTCCACTGTCTTGTTGATATCCAATAAAAGATGTTGGTATGGAACAAATGTAGTCAATGCTTTCTGTAGTCGGAGGGTTTAATTCATTTCATAGATTGTATTTTGTTATTTTTGCCAACTATTGCCATAAATCCACTCCTTTGAAACAATCTCTCAATATTCTGAAGTTATATCCCTTGCTAGAATAAACTTAAAAAACTTCAGTTGAAGAAGTGGGTTGTGCCCACGAAAGCTCATGGTACCATCTACATTTTTTTGTTGGTCTCTAAGGGTATGTCTAGACTACATGGCTCCATCGACAGAGCCATGTAGATGAGTTTACTAGACATAGGAAAATGAAGCAGCGATTTAAATCCAGCTGTTGGGCGGCACAGCGGGGCAGTCTAGCTGCTCTGCGGTCGACAACAGAAGCCTTTGTCGACCGCTCCGGTAAAACTCATTCCACGAGGCATAACTGAGTGGTCAACAAAGGCTTCCGTTGTCGACCGCGGAACGTCCAGACTGCCCCGCTGTACTACCAAACAGCTGATCGGCACAGTGCGATGGCCATTTTGATGTAAATGAAGCTGCGATTATTTAAATCGCTGCTTCATTTTCCTATGTCTAGTAAACTCATCTACATGGCTCCATTGATGGAGCCATGTAGTCTAGGCATAGCCTAAGGTGCTGCTAGCCTATTTGCTGTTTTTTTAAGTTTATTCAGCTAGGGAGCTTCTATATCACACCCTTAGCTTGAAATAAGCAACGCAATTTCAGCTACACAAATTGTGTAGCTTATTTTGAGTTAATTTCAAAATAGCTTATTTTCTAAATCAGCTAAATTTCTAAAGAAACCACTATTCTGAAATGTTCCTTAATCCTCGTGGAACACAGTTTAAAAGGATGTTGGAACAGAGAGCCTGTTATATTTCAAAATAACGGGCTTGCTTAAAAGATGCTATCTTGGAATACCGGAGGTATAGCTATCTTGGAATACCGGAGGTATCCCAAAATAGTACCACTGTCTAGATGTAACCTTACAGACTAACACTGCTACCCTTTTGATACCCTTGCTAGAGACTTTTGTCTTTAAACATTCTTTCTCCCTCCCCCCCACACTAGTGCTATACAATTCTTATTGCTTCTGGAGTGCCACAATTATTAATCAGAGACAACAAAGAAATTCCCTTATGATATTCTAAATCTAGTAGACACTCTGTACTTTGATTTGATTGATTTCATCAATCTTTGATTGTATCGAACACTCTTTTCTTCACATCTTTCAAGGCTTATCATAGGACGTGAGACATTACATGAAAAGAACAAAATAGATTATTCACATATAAAGATTTATATCTGATTCACAAAGCAAACAAAGGTATTATTTCTAAGTTGGGGTGAAATATATCTACTACATATTTGAGAGAGTTAGTGTGCCTGTCTGTCCGTCTGTCTGTGAATCTGTTTGTTCAAGAACTCCTCCTAAACATTAAGAGCTAGGACCACAAATTTGGTATGCATTCTCCTCTTAGAACTTAATGAAAGATTTGATTGTGGTAGGACAATAGGATGTTCCTGGAATGCATCTGTTTCTGTTAATTGGAAAAGGAGAGGTCTGCTAGCAGCAGAGTTATACAGAATGATGAGGACAGGTAAAAGTAAAGGCAGACAAGGAAACAAAAATATGAACAACATCTCTCTATATAAAAACAACTTTAAAAAAACCCCATGAGTAGTCCTGTGACACTAACAAAAATACATGTATGTTATTGTGAGCTTTAGTGGGCAAAACCCACTTCTTCAGTCTTTAATGTGCCACAGGACTACATGTTTTTCAAAGGGACATTGTTAAGGGCCCAAAAGCAAGCTATTCCACTGCATTGGAATGATAGAAAATATGGCAAAAGATCGCCTTGGCTTAACCACAAGATCTTGCATGATCTAAAAATAAAGAAGGAGTCATGTAAAAAATGGAAAGTAGGACAAATTACAAAAGATAAATAGACTAGACTTTAGTAAGGTGTTTGATACGGTCTTGCATGATATTCTTATCAATAAACTAGGCAAATACAACTTAGATGGGGCTACTATAAGGTGGGTGCATAACTGGCTGGATAACCATACTCAAGAGAGTAGTTAATGGTTCACAATCCTGCTGGAAAGGTATAACAAGTGGGGTTCCACAGGGGTATGTTTTGGGACCAGCTCTGTTCAATATCTTCATCAACGATTTAGATATTGGCATAGAAAGTACTCTTATTAAGTTTGTAGATGATACCAAGCTGAGAGGGATTGCGACTGCTCTGGAGGATAGGGTCATAATTCAAAATGATCTTGACAAATTGGAGAAATGGTCTGAGGTAAACAGGGTGAAGTTTAATAAAGACAAACGCAAAGTCCTCCATTTAGGAAGGAACAATACGTTTCACACATACAGAATGGGAAGCGACTATTTAGGAAGGAGTATGGCAGAAAGCTGAATATGAATCAGCAGTGTGATGCTGTTGCAAAAAAAGCAAACATGATTTTGGGATGCATTAACAGGTGTGTTGTGAGCAAGACACGAGAAGCCATTCTTCAGCTCTACTCGGCGCTGGTTAGGCCTCAGTTGGAGTATTGTGTCCAGTTCTGGGCACCACATTTCAAGAAAGATGTGGAGAAATTGGAGAGGGTCCAGAGAAGAGCAACAAGAATGATTAAAGGTCTAGAGAACATTACCTATGAAGGAAGGCTGAAAGAATTGGGTTTGTTTATTTTAGAAAAAGAGAAGACTGAGGGGGGACATGATAGTCATTTTCAGGTATTTAAAAGGGTGTCATAAGGAGGAGGGAGAAAACTTGTTCATCTTGGCCTCTGGGGATAGAATAAGAAGCAATGGGCTTAAACTGCAGCAAGGGAGGTTTAGGTTGGACATTAGAAAAAAGTTCCTAACTGTCAGGGTAGTCAAACACTGGAAGAAATTGCCCAGGGAGGTTGTAGAATCCCCATCTGTGGAGATATTTAAGAGTAGGTTAGATAAATGTCTATCAGGAATGGTCTAGACAATATGTGG